TTTACTTTTGCATGTGTATTTATTTTAATGTATTGATAATGATATATATTAATCTGTATAAAAGTATTTTTCTTTGCGTTTTACGTTTGTTGGATTAAATTCAATGATATTAATAAAAATTTTTTCTTGGCAAAAAAACCGTGACCGTTGGTCACAATCAGCCCAATTTTTTACTTGACTGTTTCTATATACAATATACTAATGAGCTTTTGAATATTTCTGTTCTTGTATATAATTTATCGAACATGTCGAACACTCAATCCAATGATTTATTAAGGGAATTAAATGCCAAGCTCTTAGCTGAGATTGCAGAACTTAGGAAGGAGAATGCTGAGATCAAGGCCAAGAATACAAAATTAAAACAGGATAAAGAAGACATTGAGGCCAGATTCGCAAAACTAGAGCAGAGTGATAAAGAAAAAACTGATCTTATTGCTAAACTGAAATATGATATTTCACAAATTAAACAGGCTTCAGTAACTTCACAATCACTTATTTCACCGTCAATTAAAAATCACTCTGGTGAAGTTGATAGTACTGACTCTGTAAATCTAGAGCAGACACAAAGTGCTATTTCTTCCAAAGTTAATTCTAATAATATTTCTGAACAGACAGATGATACATCTGAAAATGCACCAAATTCTGATGTATGCCAATTTATCTATACAGAGCCTAATTCGTCAGAAGATAAAGAGAAGAATGATTTTCTGGATCGGATAGAAAAGGAAAGGGTTAGTAATATGATAAGAGAGAGAAATCAGGAGTAGCTTCAGAAGAAGCATAGCCTCGAGTCAAAAACTCATCAAAATCTAAACTTATCTTTAGATAATCAAAATGCTTCCTCGACAGAATTAGAAAAGTCGATGTTACTTCCATTACTATGTAATGCAAATACTGTGACCAATGGTCACGATTGAGAAGAGATTATACCATCACCATTACCATCTAATGCAAAAACCATGACTAATGGTCACAATCAAAATAATGTTTATGTAAACTCTGTTAATATCTCTGAAGTATTCAATCAGATGATCAAATAGTAGAAAATTTAATACAAGAGATGTCCCATGATCATACACAGAGTATCATTTCTTCCAAAAATGATTCCACATCTTTAGATATCAGTGGACCTGGTGAAATTAGCAAGTCTTGTATACAAAATATAATTCCAGGTTCTGCACAAAGTCTCTCATATTTGTTTGATAAAGCAGTTAAAAAAGGTCAAAAAGAGATTCTATGCTGGTATTACTATTCACTTGAATTCGAAAATAAGGTTAAAAGCCTTACAACTGATGGCAAGATTACAGATAAAATGGCAAGAACAAAAATATATAAGGAAATAAAATCTTTTCTACTAATATTACAGATGTAAATTTACGTAAGATAACACAAAGAGCTCGAAAAATTCTTATACTGTTTGGAAGAGGAGGAGTAGGTATAGCTAAAATTAAACAAATTTTATATAGTGCTCGTACTATTTCATAATTGACAAATGCTCAAATTTAATACATTATTAATTATATGACTTCAAAAACTGTGACCAATGATCACGATCAGATCTTGACATCTGAAGTATATGATTTGTCATCTCAGGCCACTAATTCTTTTAGCTCAAAAAAGTTATCAGAAATCAAGATAAGTACCTCATCCGCATCTCAACACAAGGATCCAACTCGTAATCGTATCTATTTCTGTAATAAAATACTAGAACAGTATCCTAATTTATATAAAGATGGTAATAGTGAAAATGTAGATTATTACAGAATTACTGATAAGACATTATGTCCTTTATACAAATTAAAACATAATGACGAAGACATAGAAGGTAGATATGAAATTGGATCCTATTATATTAAATGTGAATAGCATAGAATTGAAATTGAGGTAACAGTATGAATTTTAAGTGTTAATGATACTAGCTCCGCTATCTTATGCTAATACAATTTGTTTAAGTCTTTAAGATGTCTTTCTGAGGCATGTTCATTTTTTGTTGAGTATTGTTAATTTAAAGAGACATGCAATTATATAAAACAGGAACATGAATACACAGGCCAATAAAACATTAACTCACAAATATTTGGAATGGCATAATAAATTTACTGGATTACCAAATGTTTTAACAGATAAAATTCGTTTCAAGTTATATAAGAGATACAAGAAAGAAACCGGTCTTGACCCCTGGATAAATTCTAAACTTTCTAGATCTTCTCAAATCAAAGAGGATGCAGATGATTATATGAGTTATGACTGTATTATCAAAATTTTCAAGTTTCCGAAAGAGAAAGGTATAATCTGTGAAATAGTATATAAATGCTTCCCTTTCTTGTTATATACTAAATCGAATGCATGGTACCGAGATGTATTTAAATATACCGATTCAGAAGCTAAATGCCCAGTATGCAAAGAAGTACATACACATCGAGGTATATGGGGTGATTGGAGCTGTCTCGGTAAAAATGATCACTATTTTCTTAATTGCCCTTTTCGTATCGATCAAAAGAAAGTTATAATTGCTATACAGAGCACACCAGAAATTCAAGTAAGTATACCAAACAAAACCCGCCTTTATCAACCAGAGGCAGGCTTACGCCAATATGCCATCGAGCATAAAATGGATTCCGAGAAATTTTCAGTTATTACAGAAGCTGAGAAAAATAGGTGGACTATGAGATGTTTTCGTAGGGATTTGGAAAGAGATATACGCTATTATCGCGGTGGAATAGAAAGTAAAGAAGACTCTAGAAAATATCGTGAAATTTTAACAGATCGGGAGAGGCTGGTCGGTGAAGAGTTATTACGTCATAGTATGGTAAAGAGCAGTTTAAGTACTGTATGGCTCGATAATCTTATGGAAGAATGGAAAAAAACTTATAATCAATTCGTACAAATTTTTAGCCAGTTCAAACCAAAAAATAAATCACATTTTGCTATTATATTATGATTTCGATCATGGAAATAAAAGTACGTTCATAAATTTTTGTTTCATAACACATCATGGCTATACCTCTATTTATATACATTTAAATCTCAACTAATTTTTCTACCCATTCACACAATCATGATAAAATAAAAAATGGAGCTCCTCTTTATTTCATGCTACACAGAGTATAAGTTACTGCAAAAATAACATATTTTAAAATAATGGTACTTCGTGCCCAGAACTTTGCTTATTAATATAAAAACTTTACCAAAGTAAAGACATATAAAAAACAAAAAAAAAATTTTTTTCTATATCGATCAATCTCGCCCTGATCATATTTTTCCTGATCACTACAATTAGCATCACCAGCTCCAAAGTGTATATCATTGTTAAATAGGGGGTCAGAGAGTCTTTACGCTTATCTTCTATTTCATCAGAATAGTAGTCATCTATTTCATTCGAAGGTTCCTAGGGGATATTGTCTAATTTATAAAATGGAAAACTTATTCCAGTTTCAGAAATATAATAAATAATCACGCAATACAAAGTTTACCTACGAGGTAAGTTTTCTCTTAGCTTGTTTTGAGGTTTAGACAAAGTTTGGGCATTACTTTTGCCGATCTTGGAGGTGTTACTTTTGCTGGTCTTGGAGGCATTAGGTTCATTAGTCTTGGGGGTGGTGATGCTAATTGTAGTGATCAGGAAAAATATGATCAGGGCGAGATTGATCGATATAGAAAAAAATTTTTTTTTTGTTTTTTATATGTCTTTACTTTGGTAAAGTTTTTATATTAATAAGCAAAGTTCTGGGCACGAAGTACCATTATTTTAAAATATGTTATTTTTGCAGTAACTTATACTCTGTGTAGCATGAAATAAAGAGGAGCTCCATTTTTTATTTTATCATGATTGTGTGAATGGGTAGAAAAATTAGTTGAGATTTAAATGTATATAAATAGAGGTATAGCCATGATGTGTTATGAAACAAAAATTTATGAACGTACTTTTATTTCCATGATCGAAATCATAATATAATAGCAAAATGTGATTTATTTTTTGGTTTGAACTGGCTAAAAATTTGTACGAATTGATTATAAGTTTTTTTCCATTCTTCCATAAGATTATCGAGCCATACAGTACTTAAACTGCTCTTTACCATACTATGACGTAATAACTCTTCACCGACCAGCCTCTCCCGATCTGTTAAAATTTCACGATATTTTCTAGAGTCTTCTTTACTTTCTATTCCACCGCGATAATAGCGTATATCTCTTTCCAAATCCCTACGAAAACATCTCATAGTCCACCTATTTTTCTCAGCTTCTGTAATAACTGAAAATTTCTCGGAATCCATTTTATGCTCGATGGCATATTGGCGTAAGCCTGCCTCTGGTTGATAAAGGCGGGTTTTGTTTGGTATACTTACTTGAATTTCTGGTGTGCTCTGTATAGCAATTATAACTTTCTTTTGATCGATACGAAAAGGGCAATTAAGAAAATAGTGATCATTTTTACCGAGACAGCTCCAATCACCCCATATACCTCGATGTGTATGTACTTCTTTGCATACTGGGCATTTAGCTTCTGAATCGGTATATTTAAATACATCTCGGTACCATGCATTCGATTTAGTATATAACAAGAAAGGGAAGCATTTATATACTATTTCACAGATTATACCTTTCTCTTTCGGAAACTTGAAAATTTTGATAATACAGTCATAACTCATATAATCATCTGCATCCTCTTTGATTTGAGAAGATCTAGAAAGTTTAGAATTTATCCAGGGGTCAAGACCGGTTTCTTTCTTGTATCTCTTATATAACTTGAAACGAATTTTATCTGTTAAAACATTTGGTAATCCAGTAAATTTATTATGCCATTCCAAATATTTGTGAGTTAATGTTTTATTGGCCTGTGTATTCATGTTCCTGTTTTATATAATTGCATGTCTCTTTAAATTAACAATACTCAACAAAAAATGAACATGCCTCAGAAAGACATCTTAAAGACTTAAACAAATTGTATTAGCATAAGATAGCGGAGCTAGTATCATTAACACTTAAAATTCATACTGTTACCTCAATTTCAATTCTATGCTATTCACATTTAATATAATAGGATCCAATTTCATATCTACCTTCTATGTCTTCGTCATTATGTTTTAATTTGTATAAAGGACATAATGTCTTATCAGTAATTCTGTAATAATCTACATTTTCACTATTACCATCTTTATATAAATTAGGATACTGTTCTAGTATTTTATTACAGAAATAGATACGATTACGAGTTGGATCCTTGTGTTGAGATGCGGATGAGGTACTTATCTTGATTTCTGATAACTTTTTTGAGCTAAAAGAATTAGTGGCCTGAGATGACAAATCATATACTTCAGATGTCAAGATCTGATCGTGATCATTGGTCACAGTTTTTGAAGTCATATAATTAATAATGTATTAAATTTGAGCATTTGTCAATTATGAAATAGTACGAGCACTATATAAAATTTGTTTAATTTTAGCTATACCTACTCCTCCTCTTCCAAACAGTATAAGAATTTTTCGAGCTCTTTGTGTTATCTTACGTAAATTTACATCTGTAATATTAGTAGAAAAGATTTTATTTCCTTATATATTTTTGTTCTTGCCATTTTATCTGTAATCTTGCCATCAGTTGTAAGGCTTTTAACCTTATTTTCGAATTCAAGTGAATAGTAATACCAGCATAGAATCTCTTTTTGACCTTTTTTAACTGCTTTATCAAACAAATATGAGAGACTTTGTGCAGAACCTGGAATTATATTTTGTATACAAGACTTGCTAATTTCACCAGGTCCACTGATATCTAAAGATGTGGAATCATTTTTGGAAGAAATGATACTCTGTGTATGATCATGGGACATCTCTTGTATTAAATTTTCTACTATTTGATCATCTGATTGAATACTTCAGAGATATTAACAGAGTTTACATAAACATTATTTTGATTGTGACC